TTACATGGTCATATTTACTTAGCCTGCGAATAAATAAAACGCAACGGGAAGACGTGCCTTTTTTCAGAGCAGGTTTTCAGATCAACTATTTTCTGCTGTTGGAAGAATATTGCTGTAGACTCTGAAGTTTTTGTCTTATCGACTCTTGAAAAATATCACCAAATTTCGCTTAGCGGTCCTTCGTCCGCGACCTATGACCTGGTTGAATAAAACTTCGCAAAATAAAAAGCGACGGCCTTTGTTTTCGAAGAATGTTTTGAAAATCATCCCTATACATGTCTACAAGTTCTCTTTTTTTAATACCTCGAATACGTACAGATTTTTTGGTAATTATTTTCGACCGCGCTGAAAACCGCTCGCGATGCTCGTGTGGGAGACTCGAGGAGACTGTTGTCTGAAGTCTTTGAAAGAAGAGCAGATTATTTTATACTCACAACATCTTCCGAAAAAAAATTTCGCTTAATTGCATCAAGAGAAGAAAAAATATATGAAATTTGCTAAAATGACGTTTTCCTGTCGAAACTATCACATTTTTACGTTTTTTCGTGCTGCTTACCTGAGACGCGGACCAAGGACCACATTCGCGGACCAAAGACCATCGAAAACGGTCGCCTTTGTACGAGCTCCAAGCAAAATATTTATGTCTGGAACTTGAAACTTCAGGATTAACGACAAGAACATAAAAGCTATCTTCAGGGAGTATTTCAGCTCGTAACGTGAAGATTCGGGTAAGATATTCAAGTTAATGACTTTTAGACGCGGACCAAGGACCACATACTGTACTGGACAAGCGAGCACGATGTCCTGTTATGCAGAGAGGTTGTTTCCGAGAATCCGTTCAAAACAAGAAAGGGTTCGTCGCAAAGAAGCGAAATTTGGGATAGAATAGCCAACACTTTGAATACCTGTTCCAAGCCTGTCTTTGCTGTGGATAAAAGGTCCGTAAGGGATCATGTGGGTATTTTAATTAACCGAATCAAAAAGAAATTAAGAGCTGAGGAAAGGAGCTCGGGCATCGCGCCGCCCGAGCCCACAGAACTTGAAAACTTGGTGGAAGAAATTATGGCTCTCGAAGAAACAGCTGATGCAGAAATGAAAGAGGACGACGAAAGTGTGAAAGGTTAGGCTGAAAAAGAGAAGGCAAAGGTCACAGATATGAGACTTAAAGCACTTGAGAAAGTGTAGGAGACGATGAAGAGACACTCAGGCGAAAATGATCAGGAAAAAGTAAAGAAAAGAGAACTGAGAAGTGGCAGCGAGACCATGTTGTTCCCGTCCAAAAAAGCGGAAAAAGACCAGGAACTTAAACTTGAGGAACTCCAGCTGAAAAAAGAGCAACACGATTTGGATGCAAAACGTCTACAGGCGAGCATTGATCAGCAACGCCAGTTTCAGCAACAACAAAGTGAAATGATGCGGCTAATGCAAGAACAACAACAACAGCAGCAACAGCAACTCTTGGCGTCACAACAACTGATGTTGAGACAGCAACAAGACCAAACTAAAGCACTGATGAGTTTGTTGGACAAACTTGTGAACAAATAGCTACCTAATTCGCTTAAAATTCACCAGTATTGCTAGTATAAATTTTTTTTTACATTTATTTATTTTTTTTTATTGCAAGTAAAACACACACAGAAAAGAAACAAAAATTACACAGAATAAATAAAGTAATAAAAAGAAAAAACAAAACAAAACAAACAAACAAATAGCGAATTTACACACTTAAATGGCAATATACTTACAAATATTAAAATAAGTTACAGCAGTGCTAATTCCATATATTACTGTACTTAGTATGATCTATAATTAATTTTTACATTTTTTTTTCTTTCTTTGTGTTGAAAGTAATATAAATACTCATGGTAGGTGCACATATTACTAATTTATGTTTTTGGAGTTAGGAGACAAGACCCAGCGAGGAAAAGAAAGGTTTCCATAGTTTTGTATTGCGCGGTGTCTTATTTTCTAATTGGTATATATGTCTCAGATAAAACAAGAAATTGTTGTGAATTGGGAAACATTCTTTTGATCTGCATATCCAGATAAAGTTCTTAGCTATAAGACAACAGAAGTTTATATGGAGCTTAAAGGAAGAGCTGTCTGACGTTAGGCCTAAAGCGGTAGTCATGTCTAAGTAACTGCCTGGTTGGAGGATCTGGCACGACTGAAGCCATATCGAGAAATTATCCCAAAAATTTTTGGTTTTTTGGCATTTCCAAAATAGATGCGTCAAATCCTGTCAAAAGCTGTTAGTTGGTAAACGTCTGTGTAAAAATCTGAAATTAAAATCAATTAGTTTTGAGCCCGTTGTACAAGTGTTTGCTGCTTGAAAAACGTTTCTCCAGTCAGCATTTTTATCGGTTGAAGAGTGGATGTCTTTATGCCATTTGTCTATATAAGATATGGGTTTTTCACTTTTATTTGCTATTAGTTGCTTGTAAGCAATTCTAGATGATTTTTGGCTTTTTAGAAATGTGTTAAGAGGACGTTCATTCTGCTGATGTGTTCTCGGGATTTGTCGTTGTAAAGATTTCACGGCTGAGACGATTCCGAAAAACATTAAGGGTTTTACTCGAATGTTATATCTGTTCTGAAAATGGTCGAGGGAAAAAAAGTTGAGAGAATTCTCGTCCATAAGATGTTTTACTTTTGTTATACCCTTGTTAAGCCAATTATTGCAGAAAACTGGTGCGTTATTTATTCTTATTAATGAATTTTGCAACATAGGTAGAGATAGAAAATGATCTTTTGATACTATTTTCCTCTCGAAGAAAGTGTCAGACCAAATTTCTACAATTTCTTTGATAAAAGGGTCTTCTATCTTTAGCTTATCAATATCCTTTCTGTTAAGATTTCGTAATTCGAAAAAAAGACTTCCCCCGTATTTTCCCAGCGCCAGATTAAAGAAGTTTTTCCATTTGCCACGGTTTCCTGAATCTAGATACTTTTTAATCCACGTACCCTTGAGTGATTTGTTAAAAGAGGCAATATCAATCATTTTTAGTCCTCCTTCAGGGTAGTCATTGATCATGATCGAGCGTTTAATTTTATCCTTTTTGCCGTTCCATAAGAAATCGAAAAAAAGCTTGTTGATCTCTTTTATTGCTTGGTGATTCGTTTGCAAAGGTGTGAGTATATAGACCAGTTGGGATGCTACAAGGCTTTTTAGTACTGTTATTTTCCCTATTAAGCTAAGTCTTCTAAATTTCCAGCATCCCAGGATAGTTTAAATTTTTGCCAACTTCTCGTTGTAATTGAGAGAGAGTGTTAACTGGTGATCTGTAGAGAGCCACACGCCTAGTGCTTTGACCTTTCCCTTTAACCATTTAAAATTTTTTTCCGGACAGAGTTTCAGGTTGCGGTTTCTTTTAGAACCTATCCACAAGGCCTCTGTTTTCTCACTGTTCAGCCTAGGCCAGATATGTTCCCAAATGCTTCTATCAGTAACAGTGACGCTCTTACTGATTCTTCAGTTCCATCTAAAATGAGTGTCGTGTCATCCGCATATTGACTTACTTTAACTTCGGTATTATAGATTTTGATGCCCTTTATTTCTTTTATTTCTTTTATTAGTATTGCTAGTATAGCTGTCGCTTGATTTTGAAAACCAGTTTGTATATTTTATTAACTATTGTCTTTGTTTTGACAAGAGTCACGACCAACGTTTTCTGTCAGCGATCAATGTTTCTATTTCAACAGTGGCACCGCATTTTTCTTGTGCAGAGGAGCCCGCGTTTTGTTATGTTCTATTATTGCAGTTATCTCATTGGATGGTGGCATATTAGAAAATATTTTTTGTCTAGAATAGTTGAATACTTTTTTTGAAAATTTGCATTCTGTTACGTAAACTGCAATAAAATTCTGTATTTACAGTCTGCTATAAAAGAAACTAGTGATACTTTGTGTGTTCGAAAACAGGTTTTAAAAAACTCCTTAGGATAAAAAGGGCTGGGGAATCTAGAGGAGGGGGTATGTTAAGGCCAAATATTAAGCTCACATTTCTAATTTTAAAATCTCTCTTGTAGGGTTAACAGTACTCTTCACTAAAATCAGTTTAATGATTAAGACACAATCAAGTTGTATTGAAAAAATTGTGAGTTGTATTTCAGTCCCAACGCTGTGGTCATTAATATTTACTAAAAAGCAGGATAAGGGGTAGGGGCGGGTGGTCAGTTGGTTGCAGGCATTACAATTTTATGTTATATATTGCATTAGACTCGATATATTTTTCTATGATTTTTCCTCCTTCCCCATTGTGTTATAATGACCACAGTGCAAATGTATGGCTGTATAACCTTTTGAAAATGAGTAATAATTGCAGAATACATTGGACCTCAGAAACCTAATTGAAATAGTCCTGGATTTGGGGTGGATCTATTCCAAAAAACTTCGAAGTACTTGATTGATAAAGACAACTGTGAGCGTTTCTCAAGAGCGCAGACACACAATGTACATTTTGCCAACAGGACTTAAGCCGATTTTTAAGTTTTTCTTGAAATCTAGGAATGCAAAGTAGTTAACAATGTCCCCAAATAGCCATTCTACCGAAACTCTGACTTGGCTCATGGCCTTGTTGAACTGTTGCTCTGCTGGTGTCAAATCAGCGCCTTTGAAGGGCCCTTGTAAGTGGACACGCAAAGGGTAGGCAGGGTCGCCATCAACGCATAAGGGTGTCCCGTCCGGTGCAAACGAGTAATGACGATAATTCTTGCAGAAGTCCTGAGTCGACTAGCATACCACTATCGTGTCTCCTGCCCTCGACTGGACCAAACAGACTTGCGATAAGCCCATTTGGAGCAACTACGGACTGAAACTTTATCCCATGCACCCTTTTATGTCCGTTATAGAGAATTCTTTGATTTTCATCTGGCTTACATAAGGTCTCACTGTTCCGTCTATGAAACCCCAACAGTTTTCGAGTGGAGCTCCTTTATCATGTATAGTGGCAGCAAAATGACGGAGACGGTCCCCGGAAAGCCATGGCTGATTTAAATCTGCGAGAAGGTGGCTATATTCATCGAACAAATAAACCATCATTCGGTTTGTAATCATGCAAAGTTGTGGAACTGGTCTCCCGAATCGAGCAACCATATCTGCAAATCGACACGGGTATGCAAAACGCTTCAACAGCACACTCAAAGCCTCCGTTCCGTCCACAAGAACGCCATTGGGGCACTTCAATATGTCTGGAATATCAAGAAGTTCTCCGAGTAAATAAATATCGTTCTTGAAAAACCGAAACTCAGTTTTACACTCATCATCTGTCATAGAATCAAGATCGAAGCGACCATACTTCCAATAAGGAAATTCGAGATTTTCAGAAGAATTTAAATCGTACAACAGGGCAAACTCTGTATCATCAATGCTTCCATCTTGATAAGCAAACAATAAAGTTTCCCTTGCCTCTCTGAATGTTGCCATTTATGATGTAAAAAACCAGCTATAAAACGAAAATGTGTTTAGCGGAGTTTAAAGGATTTGCACAGCTATACTGTCTCTGTCGTCGCGTTCGCATCCGTAACTTTGTTTTTCCCGCGCTCGTGACGGCGTTCTCGCCCGGGGCCCTTCTCGGTTTCGGTGTTTTCAAACTGCGTCGCGTTATGGTTCGCAAAGTCCCTAGTGCCTCTCCCATGTCACGCCTTCAGTCACGCGCGTGGTCATTTGCGTGTCTCAGGGTTTTTGCCCAACGGACGAAGAAAAAAGGGAGACTGATCTTTGATCTTTGATCGTGGCTTTGATAATGACATATCTACCACAAGGATCAACAATGCAATCAAGAATGAATCGTACAGTCAAAACCGTTTCTGATTAGAATAACTACCCCCCGTGAATTAGAGCTCCCGTAAGAAGAGATTAATTCACCACCCCGGGTTTCTTGCAAGAAAATTATGTCTGAATTTCTCTTTCAGCAGCATGTAAATATCGTCCTTCTTTTACGGAAATTGCTAATGCCCTTTACATTCAGTAATAAAAATTTGAAGGCGTGGTCCATTTAAAATGCTGCTTTCTGCGATTTAGCGGAGGCCTTTAGAGGAAACAAACTAATCTATAATATTGGCGAAATATGAAACATATGGTAGGACTAATTATCCGAGAACTGAAACCTACAGCTAAAAACGTTAAAGACGAATTTCCATCATCATGAACACGCGCATAAAAAGGTAACGGAATAACTAGGAAAGAAATAAAAATATCCACACGTAAACATACAACTACAACTGCAACAAAAACAAAACACAGGCATAAAAACATTACTTGGGTTAAATCCGATTTCTTCACCAGTCAAGGCACTTTGAGACGTATTTTCCTGTTCAGGGCAGTCCTGTCTTGGAATTATTTTTTGCCACTTGGTCTGTATCTTCAGCCGTCAATGTAAAATTGTCATAAACCAATTCGGTCTTCCGTCCCTCTTTCTTCGCATCTTTTAACACTTTAACTAAACCTTTCCGTATTTTGACGATTTCTTGCGGAAAATCTTGCGAGATTCCAAGACCCGTTCCTGCTAATTTATAGGCTTTGGAAAGTATACGTTACACTGAGACTATCTACACGTGTCACTTTTCTTGTTGCTTTTTGTCCTGGGTGGCCGATATATACAAGTTTGGCTTAAATGCAATTTCCCGATTTAAAGAATGAAAGTGAACAAATTAATAGCGGATCTGAGCAATGTATCACTTACTTTTATTATGTTTTAGTCTGTGGCACTTTCTGGTGTAAACAAGAAACAAATATTGACAATGTATTGAAAAGCAACAACAAACAAACTGGAACACAACAAATGGAAGACAAACTTCCATTTACAACAGTAACTGCAACAGTAAAAGTATGTTATTTTTTGTGTTTCAGATGATGTTTCTTAACATTTGACAGCTCAATGAAGCACTTGTCACATCCTTTGAACCCCTAAGGTTTCTCTCGTGTGTGAGTATCTTCATGCTCCTTGCAATGGTTTGGCTGCTTAAAACACTTATCACAGTACTTGCATGTACCCCTGAGTGTACACGTTCATGTCTCTTGCAATCGGACAACCAATGAAACGATTCATCACAGTACTTGCGCTGTTGTGGTGTAAGTCTTGTGTTTGTTCTTTCATGCCTCCTGCACGTTGATAACCGGAGGAAGCTTTGATTACAATACTTGCCCGTGTTACGTTTAACACCTGTATGAGTAAGTTCGTGTTCTTTGTACTGCAATACTTGAGTGATGCACTTGTCACAAAACTTGCACTGATAAGGCTTCAATCCGGAGTGTGTAAGTTCATGTTCCTTACAATGTGTGGGGCAGCCAAAGCTTTTATCACAATACTTGCACTTGTAGGGTTTTACTGCCTCGTGGGTAGGTTCACGTTGTTTACAATTTGATGAGCGTGTGAAGTACTTTTCACAATACTTGCACTTGTATAAGGTTTCATCCCTGTGTGAGTAAGTTCATGTTCCTTGCAGCGTGAGGCATTATTCAGTCCCGTAACCAGGATTTTTTTTTTTTGGGGGGGGGGGG